TAAACGCCTGCAGAAATTGCCCAGTAGGCGTAACGCGCCCAGGGCATGCTCTTAAAAACGGTTTTAATCGCCTGAAAGGCATAGATGTCAATTATGCCTATAAAAAGGAAAACCAAAATTAAGCGCAGTGCTATGCTCATGCCGTGTTTTTATTGATAAATACTCCCTGCTATTAAAATCACTATACGCCTTGCACATAAATGCTAATTTAGGCTCGCAATAAAAGATTTCTCAAATGTCTGAAAACAAGCCCAAACTATTTCTATTAGATGCTTATGCGCTGATATATCGAGCTTATTTTGCCTTTATAAACAACCCAAGAGTAACATCCAAGGGGCTCGATACTTCGGCCATTTTTGGGTTTACCACCACTTTGCTGGAGGTTTTAGACAAACATCAACCCAGCCACATCGCCATAGTTTATGATACCGACAAACCAACCATACGCCACGAAGAATACAAAGAATACAAAGCCACCCGCGATGAAACCCCGGAAGCCATTAAAATCTCGGTGCCCTACATCCGCAGGGTAGCGGAGGCCTTTCAAATACCTTTTCTGGGCGTTGATGGCTACGAGGCCGATGATGTGATTGGCACCTTGGCCAAGCAGGCTGAAAAAGAGGGTTTTCAGGTGATGATGATGACGCCCGATAAAGACTTCGGACAATTGGTAAGTGAGAATATTTTTATGTATCGCCCGGGGCGGATGGGCAACCCGGCCGAGACCTGGGGCGTGGAGGAAATTAAAAAGAAGTTTGACATTGATGCGGTGCATCAGGTAGTGGATTACCTGGGCATGATGGGCGATAGCGTTGACAATATTCCCGGCATTCCGGGGGTGGGGCCCAAAACCGCTTCCAAACTTTTGAAGCAATACGGCAGCATGGAAAAAATGTACGAGCATGCCGATGAAATTAAGGGCAAGTTGGGCGAAAAGATTCGCGACAACCAGGAGCAAGCTTTGCTGAGCAAGAAGCTGGCGCGTATTCTTACCGATGCTCCCATAAATTTTGACGCCAAAACCTTTCTCAAAGATCCGGTTGACGAAGAAAAAGTAAAGGAGCTGTTTTCTGAGCTGGAATTCAGAACACTCCTAAAGCGCGTAACGGGTGAAAGACTGGAAAAACCCGTGGCAAACGCTCTGGAATCGGGGCAAACAGATTTGTTTGCACAAGCGGCCGATGGCGAGGAAAGAAGCCTGCTAAAATCTGACGAGGCCGATACTTTTTATCAATTGGTAAATCACGAGTTGGAGCGTAAACTGTTGCTTGATTTATTGCAAAAACAAAAATCGGTAAGTCTGCAAATTTTTGCCGATGGACAGGACGCAGCCACAGCCGAGATAAGGGGCGTGGCCTTTGCCTATGAAAACCGCAAGGCCTATTACCTGAATTTAAATATTGAACGGCCCACAGAAGTTTTGCGAGACTTTAAAGCCTTTTTTGAAAATGAGAATATTGAAAAAATAGGCTACGATTTAAAAAGGGAAATCAGTCTTTTGCGCAACTGCAGCCTTAAGCTCAAGGGAAAGCTGTTTGACACCATGCTGGCCCATTACTTAGTGAATCCGGATATGCGCCACAAGCTTGAAATTCTGGCTGAAACCTATTTGCACTTTCAACCCATGCTTCTGGAAAACCTGGTGGGAAAAGGGAAAAACCCAAAGTCATTTAAGAGCCTGGAACCTGATAAGCTATCGGCTTTTGCGGGTGAGCAGGCCGATATAATTTTTCAATTGAAACAGGTATTTGATCAAGAGCTTGATAAAGGCCGCACGCGAGAAGTATTCGCAAACATAGAAGTGCCCTTGGTGCCGGTATTGGCCAAAATTGAAAGTGAAGGCATCAACCTCGATACCGATGCTCTGGCAAAGCTCTCCTCGGCACTGGAAAAAGACATTGCCGAACTGGATCAAAGCATTCATGCCTTGTCGGGTGACGATGATTTTAACATTGCCTCGCCAAAGCAGCTGGGCGATGTGCTTTTTGGCAAAATGAAACTGATGGAAAAGCCCAAGAAAACCAAAAGCGGGCAGTATTCTACCTCTGAAGATATACTATTGGAACTGGCCAAAGAGCACGAAGTGGCGCAGAAGGTGTTGGATTACCGTCAGCTGGTAAAACTCAAAAGCACCTATGTGGATGCTTTGCCAGCCTTGGTGAACGAAAAGACCAATCGCATTCACACCAGTTTTAACCAGGCGGTAGCGGCCACCGGACGTTTAAGCAGCAACAATCCCAATTTGCAAAACATTCCCATCCGCACCGAGCGGGGCAGGGAAGTAAGGAAGGCCTTTATTCCCCGCAATGAGGATCACGTAATTCTCGCGGCAGACTACAGCCAGATTGAATTGCGTTTAATTGCCGAGTTGAGTAAGGAGAAAACCATGATGGATGCCTTTATCAACAAAGAAGATATACATACGGCTACGGCCGCCAAGGTGTTTGGCATAAAGCCCGATGAGGTTACGCGCGAGCAACGGGGCAACGCTAAAACGGTAAACTTTGGAATTATTTATGGCGTAAGCGCCTTTGGCCTGGCTCAGCAAACTTCATTGAGCCGAAGCGAAGCCGGTGATATTATTAAAAATTACTTCAAAACCTACCCCGGCATACGCGACTATATTGAAGCGCAAAAAGAACTGGCCCGCAAGCAAGGTTATGTTGAAACAATGCTGGGCAGAAGGCGCTATTTGAAAGACATCAACAGCCGCAATGCTGTGGTGCGCGGCCACGCTGAGCGAAATGCCGTAAACGCACCCATTCAGGGTACCGCGGCCGATATCATCAAAATTGCCATGATTAAAATTGATGAGGCCCTGGCCGATTATAAAACCCGCATGGTATTGCAAGTACACGATGAATTGGTGTTTGATGCCCCCAAAGATGAACTGGAAAAAGTAACGCCCATTATTGAAGAACTCATGGTAAGCGCCCTGGAAACCAAAGTTCCGCTGGAGGTTGAAAGTGGCTATGGTGCCAATTGGCTTGAGGCGCATTAGTACGGGCTATAGGTTAGAATTTGAGGGGTTAAGGGGTGCTCAGTGCCAGAATAAAGCTTCTGATCCCTACAAGCGTTCTGACGCTAGCAATGTTCTGACCTCTGCGCCTCCGCGAGGGAAAATTATACCACGCCCTGCTTTGCGGCTTAGCGAGAGTAAAATAAGAGTATTTCGTCTGACCGCTATAAGCGTTCTGACGCGAGGAATGCTCTGCGCCTTTGCGCCCCCGCGAGAGGATATTTTACCACGCCCTGTTTTGCAGCTTAGCGAGAGTAAAATAGGAGTAACGCGTCTGACCGCTAGAAGCGTTCTGACGCCAAGAGCTACTTCGCGGGTACCTTTCCCAACTACTTTAATTAGTAATGATATCGGCATTGAATAACTCTCACTTCCCCTTTATGAATTCGGTAAACCAGGCGGTGTTCCAGCGTTATTCTTCGCGACCAATACCCGGCCAGGTCATGCTTTAGTGGTTCTGGCGAACCTAATCCTTCAAAAGGTTGACGCGCGATATCTTTTAGCAGGCTATTAATTTTCCGAAGCACTTTTTTATCGGTCTTTTGCCAGTGTAAATAGTCCTCCCAGCCTTGTTCTACAAAGGCAATGATCATTCGTGCAAAAGCTCCTTTGATTCTGCTTCATTGGCCTTGTCTGCAGCAATAGCTTGCTTCAAACGCTCAGCGTTTTTAGGGCTACGCAATAGGTGAAAGGTTTCCTGCATGCTCTGATATTCGGATTTGCTCATAACCACCATGTCGCCACCTTTTCGGCTAATGAATAGGGGCTGACCAAGCGCCAGGATCTTTTCGAAATATGCTTTCATATTATTCCGAAAATTTGTGAAGGTGGTAATTTCCATGGCAGTTAAACTTTTTGCTAAGTTAATAAAAGTACAGCTTTCTGTACATGCTGCTTTCTGAGTGTAGCCTGGCGCTGCGCCTTTGCGCCTCTGCGAGAGGTATAATACCACGCCCTGCTTTGCGGCTTTGCGGCTTTGCGCCTTAGCGTGAGAAAGTTCTACTACGCCCTGCTTAGCGGCATAGCATCTTTTCGAAAGGAGTAGAAGGTAAGGCTTTTGACCGCTGAAAGCGTTTTGACGCCAGTAAAGTTTCGTCTTTAGGCATCCGCGAGTGAAAATTCATAGCGCCATTCAGAACCTCTGCGTTCGATAGCCCGTTCGCTTTTTCTAATTTCGCTGCACATGATAGATACGCACACCCACATATACCTGAAACAATTTTCTGACGACCGCCAGGAAATGTTGCAGCGCGCTGCCGATGCAGGTGTAAAAGAGTTTTACTTGCCCAATATTGACAAAGACAGTATTGACGACCTTAAAAAACTAGCCCTGGCCCACGAGAATATTTTTCCCATGATGGGCCTCCACCCGAGCCACGTGAAAGAAGATTACCAGGAACACCTTGCGGCCGTCTTTGAAGAACTGGAGGGCGACACCAAATACCATGCGGTAGGTGAAATTGGCATTGACCTTTACTGGGACAAAACGCACATTGCCGAGCAGCAACGCGCCTTTGGCATTCAAATAGAGAAAGCCAAGGAAATGGGCTTGCCCATTGTAATTCATTGCCGCGATGCCTTTGACGAAACTTTTGCCGTACTGGAAGCCCTGGCCGATGAAAAAATGTATGGTATTTTTCACTGCTTTACGGGCAACCTCGAGCAGGCGCAAACCGCCATAAACCTGGGCCTTAAGCTGGGCATTGGCGGTGTTGTAACCTTTAAAAATGGAGGCTTGGACAAAGTAGTTGAGAAAATTGGCCTGGAACATATTGTGCTGGAAACAGACGCCCCCTACCTGGCTCCGGCTCCCTTCCGCGGCAAGCGCAACGAACCCGCCTATGTTAGATACGTAGCCGAGAAAATTGCGGAATTACACGGTATAAGTGTGGAGGAGGTAGACCGAATTACCACGAATAACGCACATCAGGTTTTAAAACGATGACAGAGGCTGGGAAAATATTGCTGCTGTACACGGGCGGCACCATCGGGATGATTTTAGACGATAAAACGGGCTCCTTAAAGCCCTTCAGGTTTTCCAACTTGCTAAAGCAGATTCCTGAATTGCGCCTGATGAATTGCGAAATTGACACCGATAGCCTGGATAGCCCCATCGATTCATCTTCCTTGGGGCCTGAACATTGGCAACGTTTGGCCAACCGCATTTATAAAGATTATCACCTGTACGATGGCTTTGTGGTTTTGCATGGCTCCGACACCATGGCTTACACCTCTTCGGCCCTGAGCTTTATGCTGCAAAACTTGTCAAAACCGGTGATATTAACCGGCAGCCAACTGCCTATTGGTATTCCCAGAACCGATGCTCGCGAAAATTTGCTGACCAGCATTGAGTTGGCCCTGGCACTAAATGATGAGGGAGGGGCACGCGTGCCCGAAGTGGCGGTTTATTTTGAATACGACCTCATGCGGGGAAATCGTTTGCATAAAATAAGCACCCAGGATTTTGAGGCCTTTCAGAGCTTTAATTACCCCAAACTGGCGGAGGCCGGGGTGAAGATCAAGTACAACGACAATTACATAGCGCGCAGCTCGCTGAGCTCATTTAACGTAAATACCAAACTGGATAGCAGGGTTGGGGTGCTCACCATATTTCCGGGCATGCAGCCTGAGTTTGTGCAGCCAGTGCTGGAAAACAAAAACCTGCGGGGCATTATCATAAGAACCTTTGGCAGCGGCAACATTCCCGATCATCCCTGGCTTTTGAAGGCCATTGAGCGCGCCATAGCCCGTGGTGCCAAAGTGGTGAATATTACGCAGTGTGACGGAGGGGGCGTGTTTATGGGGCAGTACGAAAGCAGCCGTGCCCTGTTAAATTTAGGCGTGCTCAGTGCCTATGATATGACCTTTGAGGCCGCCCTAACCAAGCTCATGCATTTGCTGCCGCAAGATTTAAGCACAGAGCAGTTTAAAGAATTATATGAAACCAGCCTGAACGGAGAGTTGAGCAGGTAGCCTCACGGTGCTATGGGGCAAAGAGCTGGCTTTTGCGCTTTTCCATTTCCTCGGCAATACGAGCGGCATCGCCACCCTTGTGCTGCAGCTCTTCTATGATGCGCGTGTAACTCTCCTCATCCCGGTCTTGACTTAGCTTAAAAACGTTTTCCATGTTTTCCACCGGAATTTCAAAAGCTACAATGGCCTTTTTCATTTTTCTGAGGTATTGCTCGGGCAGATTATTAAAAATATTGGGAGCCTTGGCATTCCCGTCTTCAAAGTGCAAGGTTAGCGCTTGCATCACTTCCTCCAATTCCTGATCATTTAAAAATCGCAGTTTTCCGTGACAATGCACGCTCATGTAGTTCCAGGTTGAGCCCACCGCGGGGTTTTTGTACCAGGTTGCACTTACGTGCGAATGTGGTCCGGTGAAAACCGCCAGCACTTGCGGGTTTTGATCAAAGGCCCGGTGATGGTCGGTATTGCGCATAAAATGGCCTCTTAAAACAATACTTTCTCCTTCGCTTTTGGCCATTAAGGGTATTTGGGTGGCCACCGGTTTACCCGACTTGTCACTTCCGGTTAGGAAAGCAAAGGGGTACTTTTTCAAAAAGTCCATTAAGTCTTTCGGATTGTTTTCTTTATGGTAGGGCAGGTTGTACATGGCGTGAGAATGTGCGGGTGAAAATAGTGTAGATTAACCAAATTGGTTCTAAGCACCTTTTTCTCTACCCTTTTTGCATTGCCTTTTCCCTTTTCAAACCTTCAAGGTCTCCTAGCGGTGCGGGGGAAGACCTTGAAGGTTTCCCTGAAGCCTTGGTGATTTGCCTGCAATAGGCTTGAGAGATTACTCACCTTCGGCTCGTGATCTCTGGAATGAGGAGCTGATCAAAGATCCCGGAAGCCGGCTGCGCGGTCCTTCGTGATATTTTATGCCCTTGCCCCAGCGAGCAAGCTCGCGGGCGCGCACAAAAAATCCCGGTCAGCTTTCTGCTGCCGGGATCTTTGGCGGAGAGGAAGAGATTCGAACTCTCGATACCCGGTTAGGGTATACACACTTTCCAGGCGTGCGCC